TTCATTTTGTCCAGATCCTCTTTTGTTGCCAGTTCAGGGAGTCCAGGTGGTTGAGTATCAGATTGTTCCATCTTGTTTCCCTTTGGGGTTGCTGTAGTTGATCTGGAAGTCTGTTTTGGGGGCTTGTTTATGTGTCTCATTTCGACGGGGGTGGGGTGGGGGGGCTGCTGCTGGCACCCGTGTGGCTCACGTCCTCCTGGGTGCTGGGATTGGCTCACCTCTGCCCTTTCCATAAGCTTTTGAAAAATGTTGCCTCAAAGACTTTCACAAATTTCTTCTATGTATGGCTGAAAAAGAGTTGATATCACTTGTTTCTTGGACAGGTGACTTTGTACATGTTCTACAGCTTGCTGTGAGAATGGATGCGAACAAGAAAGAAGCTCCTTCATGATGTAGGCATCATAAATCTGCCGACTTCTACACAGGAGATCTTCCTCATTGTCAAGCTTCTCGTATTCCTTTATCTCTTCATAAAACTTCACCTGAGGTACAACTTCATTAATTTCATTCAAACAAAAATCTTTAAATAGCAAGAAACGAATTTTCTGATTGAAAATCTTGTCAAAGGTTATTTTATTTCTCTCCTCAAGATATTTCTGCATCACGATCCAAATACTGGGCTCCAGCAGGACGATCTTCTTGCTGGCGCGGGTGGCCAGTGTCGCCTTGCTCTTCTCCATGGCCCTCACGTAGCTGACATTGGCCAGCACGGCCTCCAGGTCCGCCATGTTGGCGAGCGGTGGCGGCAGCAGCTCCTGGAGACCAGCACAGGACGTGCTCTTGCTGCCACCGCCCGCTGAGCCCCCTGAAATATTTTTTTTTAAGAAAAAAAAATTTTAAATTTGTGCCAGCTGGGTTTAGATTTGAGCTCCTCCTACCTCAGTTTTCCAGAGTGCTGGGATTACAGGTGTGAGGCACCAAGCCAGGGTTGTGAAAGTGATTCTAAGGGTGCTGAGAGACATGGATCCCAAATGTTTTCTACCGTGAGAACCTCTGCAGTGGTACCCTTATATTATAAATTCTGATTTCATTTTCTTGCCAAGACTGAAAGCTTTCTATGGATAGGGACTCGGTCTTGTGGGATCTTTTACCCTTAACCTTTAACAAGTGCCCGGCACATTACAGGCTCCCAGGAAGTGCTAAGTCAGTGAACGAGGGCACTTTATTTTCAGATATCCTTTTACTGAATACAGATTTATGGGGCTATAATTCACACACCACACAATTCACTTAGAGAGTACACTCTGGTGGTTTTTAATATATTCAGAATTGTACAGTGATCACCACAACCAATTTTAGAACATTTTCATCACCCCCAGAAAGAAACCCCCATATCCCATTAGCAGTCACCCTCCATTTCTCCTCTGCCTCCTTCTCAGTTTTGAGAAACCACTAATTCTGTCTCTATAATGCCTCTTCTGGACATTTCATATAAATGGAATCTACAATATGTGTTCTTTTGTGATGGGCTTTTAAAATCAGCATGTTTTCAAGTTTTATCCATGTTGTACCACTTACTAGCAGTTCACCCCCCCCTTTGGTCAAATGATATTCCATTATATAGATACACCACATTTTATTTGTCCATTCAGCAGCTGATGGGATAGAACTCCCTTTTAGAATGAAATACTCATCCAAAGAGAAGCATTAAAAAAAAAAAAATCCCACCAAATCAGTACCGATTCAGGATGGAGCACAAGACAAATATTCTTTGATGTGGAAGGAGAGAGACAAGAACCAGAATGAGTTATTCTCCACCTCATTCTTCTTTTACCTTCCCTTCACCCCTAAAGAGGGCAGATCTGGGAGGGGAACCAAAGAGGGAATGGGCCTTCCCAGTCCTAACAGCCTGGTGGGTTATGTAAGCCTCAAAATATAGTCAAACACCACCTTCTGGGAGCCGACTTTGATTTCTCTGGAGGTTTTTAGTTAGCAAGCCTTCATATTTAGGTGGAATATTTTCATATCTCCACAGAACGCTGAACTTCCATCATATGCATACAGTGGACCCTCAAGTTAGGATGGGCCTGACATACAAACAACTTGGGTTAATTAGATTAATGGAAGATTCATCTGCCTCTTATTATCTATAGCGTGTACCCAGGTAAACATCCAGATCTCAGCTGTATTTACTTGGTTACATCCAGCCCTCAGGAACCAATTGCGTTCATAAGTCAAGGGTCCACTGTATTTCTCATTGTACTGCAATGGTATTGAAATCAGGCAGTTCTTAATAGTTTCACCACTTAACCCCTTTTCACTGTGAGGAAATTACTACTGGCCTCAGGAGTGTTGCGAAAATTAAGGTAAAATATGGAACATATCTGTGAAAGGAAGGGGGACTTTAATCAATTTGATACTCCTGAAGTTAATTTATACATATAAAATCACAAGGTATTTGCTTGTAATTTCTTTTTTTTTTTTTTTTTGGTACCGGGGATCGAACTCCGGTCCTTGGACTTGCGCAGCAGGCGGTGAAACCACTGAGCTAAATCCCCGACCCTGCTTGCAGTTTCTTGAAGCAGGCAATATAAATTGCAAAGTTCTGAGAAGCCCTGAGTCACCTAACTCCTTGATGGCACAACACTGCTAGGTCTGGATCTTTTTATTTGTCCAAACCAGCAGTTTTCTTTTTTTGCATCGGCACTTCTTCCTCGATTTTTTTCTAGTTTTAGAATAACTTTTCCCCCCCTGGTACTAGGGATTGAACCCAGGGCCTTCGCACTAAACTAGATAACCATTTTTTATTTAGAAACAGAGTATCACTAAGTCGCTAAACTGCCTACAGTGGGCTAGAACTTTGTGATGGATCCTGCTGTCTCAGCCTCCCAGAGTGCTGGGATTACGGGCGTGTAGTACAGTAACCTATGGATAATTGTCACGATTCCAAGATTCATTTCCCTCTGAAGATGCACACTCCCTAATTACGACAATCATTATTTTCTATTTCTTCATTCTTCGGCCATTACCAGCCCCATCCTTCACAATCTCCTAGCATTGTTGTATGGGTGTCCACTGCCTTAGTCCCAGCTTTCAGAACTTATAAAGGAGGTTTGCATCCAGAAAGTTGCAGATTCGAAACCAAGGTCTATATAGCACGTCTTCATCTGTGAAGCACTTAAAAATACCCATTTTATAAAGTTGTTCTAATACGTGTACACTACCATTCTTAATTATATACGGGTATTTAAAGGTGACGCATCATTACTACAAATGGCTTTCTGTTTGAGGGAGCTCTGGTTTTGAGGTGATCGGGCCCTTTAAAGCGCCGTCACCCAGGTCTTCGGGGCTGGTCCCCCCCAGCCCCTCCCAACCCGGAACTGATGTCACACGTAGCCGACCACGCCAATACGCGTCCCGGAAGAAGCGGCTTGAGGCGTTTGAATCAGTGAGTGAAGGCGGCGCCGCCCGCCGGCTGCGGATGCAGCGAGCCAGTGTCCCCCGCCTGTTCTTTAGGGCCCTCTGAGGGAAAGAGGGCGAGCATTGTGCGACCTCGCTGCGTGTCTGTTCCCCACTCAGGGCCCCTCTCTCCCCCAGAAGCCCCGCGTGGGCTGCGCGCGCCACCCCACGTGTTGGCTCCCCGGAGCTCGCCGGCCGTTTAGCCTCCTCAGCCCCTGCCCTGTCGCCCTGCCACCGGAGCGGTGACTCCCGGTCCGCCGTTCCTCCGCTGCCGGCACCATGGGTAGTGAGCAGAGCTCCGAGGCCGAGAGCCGACCCAACGATCTGAACTCCTCAGGTCGGTGTCCTTTAACCCTCCCACTCTCCTCCCGCCCGTCTGCTAGCGGAGTAGGCTGCCTCCTAGCCTGGCGGTGTCTGGGACGGCCGGCGGCAACATAGAGAAAACCCTTGTCGAGCTTAAAAAAAAAGTGTCCGGACCTTGATTCCCCTAAGCCACCGCGAGCGCCCATGCCCATTATTTGTTTCCAAAACAGCCGTTTGTTCCCTCTGCTGATCGTTAAAAGAAGACTTAATTAAAATTTGGCTCCCTCATCATGACTGACATATTGAGATTTGTCTTACACAGTGGATGGCTCATAGGATCTCTAAGAACAGGCTTTCTCTAAATCGGGTTCAGAGGAGATGTGTGCTAGCTACGCAAGCGCTCTGGATTAACTTTTGGATGCCAGTGTTTTCAGAGACTGCTTTTCTCCTCAGGTGTCTAGGTCCCGTTTGAAATACAAATTGACCAGATGGCATGCTCTGGGCGGCCCCCCCTCCCCATGTTTTTTTGGATTCCCTGCGGCATTTCAGGGAATGGGAGGGTTATTGTGCTGGGAATAGTTAACGTTCAGTGAAACAGCAGGTGTTTAATTGCGAACCTTTTGTGAGCCACGTTTTAGGACAGCTCAGAGTGCTCTCCATAAGCCCCTGGGTTGTTAATCAAATTGGTTACATCTGAGGCCTGTAGAGTCCTGGTCTTGAGAATTTGCCTTTGGTTAAATCTGGGCCTTAGAAAGAGCACCTGGTCTTAGAACTGCTCCATTAGTAGAATTTGGCATTCAGATATGTGGAAGCTAACAGATCTAGGGGTGAGTCACCTGGAAGGGTGTCCTTCAAGAGACTAGTTCAGACCTGCATTCTGGGGCTGGATTGATAAAGCTTTTCGTGGTGAGGAACATCAGTTAGCTTAGATACATTCTCTTATTTTCTTGAAAGGCCCAGAATATTATATATGTTTTGTAGCAAATACAGTAATAACGGCTATCTCTTGTTTTCTTGCCTATCACTTGATCTTAGCCAAAAGGCCGAGAAGCGATTGTTTTCTTGCCTGTCAGGTCAAAAGCATAGTTTGGGGGTAAGGGGTTTGGCATTTAAAAAAATGCTTGCTGGTGAACCGACAGCATAAGTTTATACCTGGTGTTAGAATTTGCCTGTTCCTCTGTGCCAGGTGCTTTGTATATACATATTTTTATTTACTCTTCATATACTGTCACTTTTGGGTAAGGTAATGGAGGCCAGCTGGAATATGGGGAAGTCCTTCTCCAGTCTCTGGGGTAAAAGAAATCACAATTTGTAGCAGGAAAGATTTCTGGCATCTCTTGTAAAACGTTAGATAAATTTCCGAAAGAGGTTAAGAAATCGTTCTTGAAATGGAGTCACAGTAGCAGAGATTTTTTCTAAAAGAATGAATGCCAAGCCTCAGGAAACTAGCTTTGCGATGGCAGTGCTGTTCTGTGGCATCTGTGGATCGGCCTTTGAGACGTGACTATGATGAGCCTGAGACTACTACTACCTTCTAGAGTAGTGATGGCAAACCTTTCAGAGCTTTCAGTGATACAAATAGCTTGCTGTGGTGGCATGCCATAGGTTGGACACCACTGTTGTAGAGTGTGAAACACTTTGAGGATTATTGCCCTAAACGCACAGGGTATTGGGAGAAAGATGTCTTTGTCTAGGAAATCTTTTATGGCTTGAATCGCTTATTTCCAAATGGATTATATTCTTCCAAAGCATCTGAAATTGACCCGCCTCTAACAGTCTTCCAAATTTCTGAATTTTGCCTAGAAGGATCTAGAATGGACCCATTTTTTCTGTCCTTCTTGTAGTAATGCTGTAACTTTAAGAGTGAGGGGCCTGGGTCTTCGAGAATAGACTCCTTATCCAGAGTTGAAACCAGAGTGTTTTGCCACGTTTATGACCTGGCCAACTGTGATAGGGAAAACACAGCTTTGCAACCCCAGCGTCGCATCAAAAACCCATAGGCTCCAATTCCTTCCCTAATTGTAGTGCTGTTGACATACTGCAACTCAACAGCTAAATTTTATACCTTCCTTTCCTCATTGTAAAATAACAATATATGTCAGGAGGATCCAGGAATCTAAGAATTTAGAAACAATTTGTGTATCCTTTTGGGCACTGAATTATAAAAAATATTTAGTTATGAAAGAGTTCACACATGTTAGATGTTCCAGTACTGTTAGTTTTTTTTAATACTGCAGAAAATAGAGGTCCCTCATAATTCATCTGCCTAGCCAACACCAAAAAGTAGATTTTATTGTGTAAAAATATTCTTTTTAAAAGAATAAAAAAATTTCACACATTATGAGCACAAAATAAAAATTCTTTTTAACGAAAAAACAGCTTTGGTGAGGCAGAGGTGGCTAATATGCGGCTTCTCACCAGTGTAACTGTATTTGCAGTGACTCCTTCTCCAGCCAAGCATAGAGCCAAGATGGATGATATTGTGGTTGTAGCTCAGGGCTCTCAAGCCTCACGGAACGTCAGCAATGATCCAGACGTCATCAAGTTGCAAGAGATTCCAACCTTCCAGCCCCTTTTGAAAGGTAAGGGGTTGCATTTTTGTCTTATCTGAACTTGCTGGAGGAATTTATGTGGGCCTGCTGGTCTCCCCACATAGCTGTGTACCTTACTCTCTCATCTCCTGCAGGTCTTTTCCTTCAAGGGCATCTCCATGAAGACTTTGTCTTAAATATAATGTACCTTTTTCTTTGCTTACTTTTCTCTGTGGCACCATTGCCATACTGTCAATTTGTTTACTATCTGTAATTTTCTACTAGAATGTGAGCTCCAGGAGGACAAGAACTTTTTGTTTTGTTCACTGTTTAATCCCTAGCACTTGAAATAGAGCTTGATATAAAATAGGGACTGAGTAAATGAATGAGTGAATGTTGTTGTGTTTGGCTCTTCTCTGTTTTATTTCCATGAAAAGACTGATTGTTACTGCTGATCTAGACTATGACTTGCCTAGTTGAGACCCATAGAAAAATTCCATTACCACTAGTACACTTGTAATTAATCTTGCATGAGAACAGAGTGTGTATATGAGAGGGGAGAGTACCCACTTAATTGGCATATTTTGAGATAGTTTATATAAAGGGCATAATTTATTGTTTTCATGTCTCAAGGATGGAGATAATTTTCTGTTAGCCAAACAGGAGTTCTGCTATAAGAGTTCCTCAGTTCCCCCATCCTCCCCCTCAATGAGGAGATAATGAATGTAAAACCCCAGTTAATTAACCTATGTCTTGGTTCATATTCTGTTGCTATTACTGAATACCATAGACTAGGTAATTTATAAAGAAACGAGTTTCATTTGCTTCACAGTTATGGAAGTCCAAACACATGGCACAGGCATCTGCTTGGCATCTGGTGAGGGCCTTCCTGGTGGGTCACAACATGGGAGGGGACATACATGGCAAGACAGAGCAAATTTGCTAACTTTGTCTCTCTTATAGTTATTAATGTTATCGTTGGGCCCCATACTCATGACTTTATCTAATGCTAATTCCCTCTTAAAGGGCCCACCTCAAGTACCATTGGCATGTGACTTTGGGGGTTGTGTTTCAATGTGAGTTTTTCAGGAGACAAACACCCAGACCATAGTAGCCTGGTGTAATGTGATATAAAACATCGTATACTTACATTGCTGTTTGTATTAAAAAGTTCCTCCCCCCTGCCCATACTTACATATCATCCCTTTAATTCTTACATCATTAAACATGTTTGAATGATATGTTCAAATGTGTTTAAATGACAGTGGGAGGTAGAGATTGAACTTGGACCTTCACTGATGTCAGATCCTATCAGGTACACTGTTCCATGCTGAACTTAATAAAAATGAGTGGTGCTTCTAGGTGATCCATATATCATCATATTCTTCCCCATGGTTCATCTGTTTTACAGATGAGGAAGTACATGCTTTCAGTCTCTTCTCCACAGCTTCAGGGTTGGACTTTGGTAAGCACTCTGACTTACGTAAACCAACTCATTGCATCCTGTTACTGTTCTTATTAGTTTTTATTATTTCAAGGAATAATGTGATTCTCCAAAAAAGCCAACATTAATGAAATTTCCATCTCTGTATATCCTTTTACAATCAGATCAGAAGACAGCCTTTATGTTTAGAAACTTAGAGTTGAACACAGTACCGCCCATAGTCAACACTTTTCATGTCCTTTCTTTCTATAATCTCTATCCTCTCACTAAAAGGTATAATAGATAATGTGAAATAGGAAGAAAAGGGGCAAAGGGGAAGGGGAAGTGGGAGGGGTAGGGGTAGGGGAAAGGAAAGAAGGGAATGGAATTAATATGAGAAAATGGAAAAATGGAAACAAAGTCTTTGTAAATAGGGAGGGATGGAGGGATTGAAGGGAGGGCAGGGGAAGGGGGAAAAATAAGAACCAAGAGAGATATAAAGGTGCAAATTTCCAATGATGAATGTCATTATATTGTATACCTAAGATGTACCAATGATTAAAATGAGTAATTGATAATGCTAAATATGAAGAAAAGGTCCAAAGGGGTAGGGGAAGTGGGAGGGGTAGGGGAAAGGAAAGAAGGGAAAGGAAAAATTACAAGAAATGGAAAAAATGGAAACAAAGTCTTTGTAAATAGGGAAGGGTGGAGGGGGTGAAGGGAGTGCAGGAAATGGGAAAAAATAAGAAGATACATCATGTACAGGTACAAGTTCCCAATGAGAAATGTAAATGTATTGTATACCTAAAATGTACCCCCAAAAAATTAAAAAAAAAAATCTCTATCCTCTCACCTCCCAAATTCTTCTAGTCCTGGGCCTTTTGTGACCAATTCTTGCCTTCCTCTTAGGGAAATACTAAAAACAAAACTTTTGAGCTAAACTAGTAATTTTCTGGGATTAGTTTTTTACTCATTTGAAATCCTTCAGAGTTTATGGTTAAACAAAAAAAAAAAGCTGACCAGTAGAAGTAGAATCTGGGGAAGACTTGGAATGAAGGAAAGCTAACTTCAGATTTTAATTCATTAAAATAATCAACTCTAAAGGTGAACGATATATGCAGTTAATGAAATACAGTGTGATGCAAATGAACTTGGTTGCGTTGATAGGTTTGTTTTTTTTGTTTTGTTTTTTGAAGGGTATTGAACTCAGGGCCTCAAACATCCTAGTTAGGTGCTCTGCCCCTAAGCCACACCCCCAATCCTTTAAAAAAAATTAAAAAAAATTTTTTTTGATACAGGGTCTCTTGCTTAATTGCCCAGGCTGACCTTGAATTTCTGATCTTGCTACCTTAGCCTCCCAAGTACCTGGAATTACAGGTGTGCACCATCACACCCACTGATACTTGAGTTTTATTTTTTGGTACCAGGGATCGAACTCTGGTCCTTGCGCTTGCGAGGCACGCGGCGGAACCACTGAGCTAAATCCCCGGCCAATACTTGAGTTTTGATGGGACTTTGCCACCAACTGTGTTGCCCTGGCCTTGTTTTTTTTCTCTTTTGGGTCTTGGTTGTTAAGGACATTGAGAATAGTTCTGGAAGGAAAGAAAGCTGGTGAGGAGAAGCTGATGGTAAGAGGTTATTTGAAGTTTGGCTAAGGAAGCTAGAGAAAGCATTTGGTGACAGTGGCGTGAATCTAGAATGGCAGCCTGTGGCTGTGACCAGGCTACAGGCTCTAAAGAATAAAAGCCAGGGAGCATTTACAGTGATGCATATTTTTTACTTGTGAAGAAGAAGCCTCTTAGTGATTAGAAAAGATAGGCAAAGGGGGAAATTGGCTAGAAATAAGATGATGATAATAGCTAAGAATCCCTCTGTACCTCCACATGTGAGCTATTATCTTTTGTATTTTATAGATTAAAGCATTGAGACTTGGAGAGCTTAAATTCATTGCCTAAAGTCACGTGCTGTCTTAAGATGGCATCAGGACACCTTGTTTTAGTTACTTTGTACATAGTCCAAGACTCGGTTTCCAATTCTAACTAAGCCTCTTATATAAATCACTAGGCTACAGTGGGGAAGAGTAGTGTGCTGAGTGTGAGGTTGTCGGGTTTTAAGTGCGGCAGTTATTGCAGCGCCTCCTGCTTTGACATTGTTCTGCCTGGCAGTTTGAAGCCCTGTCCTCTGCCTGCTGGTCTGCTGCAGGCCCACTCATCACTGTCGCCTTTATGCTCTGATCTTTTTTTTTTTTTCCACCTCTCCTGCTTTCAGGATGAGGCTGTTTCTCAAAGTCGTAAAAAGGCCATGCAGTGAAGGCTGTACCCCCAGGTTTGATTTCAGAAAACTTTTATCCAACTTAATGACAGTTTATTCTTTCAAAGCAATATCTTCAAGTATTACACAGATTTCACTGTTGTTCCGTAATGTCATATGTAATGTGAGTGCTGGTGGGGGATCTGCAGAGGCAGTGGCTGGGCGAGTTTGGGGCTATTTGGACGACTGAGGTAATGTTCGCATTTTTAATAAGCAAGCAGATTCTTTCTTTGGTCTTAACCTTTTGTGTAAATGTACCAGAGTATACTTTATGCTTTATAGTCAAAACATGTTCCTCTTTTTTTTTTTTAGACAGAGATTTGTTTCATGGTAATCTGAATTAGCAACTTAGTTTGACACGTAAAGCACTTAATAGGAAAAGAAAGAAAATTGGAAAGTAGCAGTAAATGACCACCACAGAATGCAAAAGAAAAATGTTGATTTCACGTAAGTTAGTAAGATTCCAAGGTATTAAAGCGGAGGGGGTTTTGATTTAAATTCAGTCACATATTTTTTAATGAGTCCCACTCCATGTCATTCTGTAGAAATGAAATATTCACAAGAGAAGTGCAGTCTTGTTGATGTTTATTTTGTACATAGACTAAGACATGGTCTCCCTATGTTCTTCAGGCTGGACTTGAACTCACTATGTAGTCCAGGCTGGCCTCGAACTTGCAGCAATTCTCCTGCTTCAGGCTCCCAAGTACTAAGATTACAGGCAGGTGTCACCATGTACAGATTGATGTTTTTTAATATATAAAAGTTATGAAAATAATTATTCACTTTTGGTGGAGCTGAGTATGTGCATACACACAAGCAACTATGACATTCTTTTAACTGGCCTGTTTTTGTTTCTGACCTTGGATATAACATAAGGGGTCATCTTACTGCCTAGGAAAAGGGCTGTCCTTGTCACCAGCGGAGAAGATTATTCACATACAGTGTAGATGCTTGATACTAAGTAGCTTTGTTGGGTATTCTCAGTGTTTAGGAACATGATGCACATGAAGTAGATTTCAGTAATTTAAAGGGGCCTGGTCAGTGGAGGCCAACTTATGGTACGCGTGCTCCAGCAGGGTGTTTGTTCACCCTCACTGGCTAAGTCTTTTCTTGGTGGAGCCTCACACAACAGTAGTAAAAGATCTGAAATCACGCGGAACAGTGAGAATTAGTACTTGAGTCTGTAGTAGGGGAATGAAGTAATAAGAAAGGGTGAGAAAGAGAAAGTGAGAGTGTGAAAACAATCATTATCTTCATGTCTTTCTCAGTCACTCATCCATCTTCTAGACAAAATAAAGATGGAAAGTCTTTGCATTCA